TATTGTAATGTCACCGGAATATACTGCCATAATAAGTTAACACATAATACCACATCGTATATTAGATGATAATATCAATACTGCTATTAATAGTCAGTTATATTTATCATACAATTAATAAAACATAATTATTATTGCAGTAATGAAGCCAATTTATAAAAACAAACCAACTTTAATAGAAAACTTATATTAAAACTCAACGACTAATTGGCATAAAAATAAATGTGTTTTTAATAAATATCTCTCGCATAATGAACTATATAATGGGGTAATCATTGTTTTATAAAAAAAAAGATGAATTATTACAGCAATATATGTGATCTGTAGTATGAAAAACATGTTTTGCATACAATTGAATGTTGAATATTTTCATATACATAGTTTGAAACTAGTGTTCAGTTCCTGAATACGAGAATAACTAAAAGATTATTGATTTAGGAGTTTATGATGTGATGAGAATATGTATTCACTAATTATACCTACACTTAAAGCCACTTCAGTATCGCAGAAAAAATATAATTTTATATGATTACTACGAATAAAGTGTTTATAATTTCATATGCGATTAACTCTATTGCTTACAAACAGTTTATTTCAAAACAAAAAACTCTTTTCTCTTATAATTCAGTATTTCTATTGATTTATAAGTGTCTGGAGTTAGGATTGATGTTTGAAATGATATTTTATAGTCATGTTTGGGATCAGTTGCCTCAAAGTCTTGTGTGCTTCTGGTGTTTAAACACTAAACACTACTAAATATACATTAGTTTATGATATCCTGTGATTTATCCAATTCTCGGGCGACTAATGATAATATTTTATGATTTCTCCCATAAATTCAACTCTCATTATATGTTTCGCTATTTATTTGAAACTAATGCTAAAGAAAGGCAATACAAACAAAAACTAATGGCTTTTGACATAAAACTATTTTATAGGCAATTGTCTTAAGAATTGAACGAAACATATATTAAGAAAAAGGCAAATATTTATGAATTTTCAAACTTTTCTATAAAACAAATACATATTTTATATTTTGAAAGCATTTCTATTAAATTAGTCAAGAATTGAACACAAATATTAATTTGGATATAACATTATATTTATATTTAAATAACTGAATATTTTTTAGTGCAAACAAATTTATTAAAATTAAATCTCAAAAATATATTTAACAAAATTAGCATCTATTTCAAATAATAAACCACTATATGGACTGACCTAGGTCTTATAATGGGCACAGAATTAGACAGAATTAGACAGAATTGTGTGAACTGTATGTTTGTGCGGACATGAGTGCCATCTATGGGCCACTCATTGACGCATTGATTGCTTGACTGACACTACGTTTTATTGAATGCAATGTTTTGTTTACAAATGATTCACACATTTATTGAACCCTTTTCATGGCATTGAATTGCAATCCATTGGCAAACCATTGCATACATTGACTGCAAAATCGGACGTCATTTCAATGAATGTGTCACTCATTGGATGATTAGTTGTCCACTAATTGTGTACAAAATGTTCATTAATTGCAATGTCTTTGTAATCAATGCTCACATCCATCACAAACACTGTCATTGAATCTGATCCTCAAAGCGCTGCTCATTATCTGAACTTTGATCCAAACCTCTATCACCTCTTAATCGCTGCCATCGCTGTGTCCGTCGTATTCCTCGGCTTATCAATGGATTTGTTTCCAATGGGTTTGAGTTCCGCTCAAAACAGTTACTGTGAGTTCAGCTCAACTGATCCCACATTCAATGACCTCTTGATCTGTCACTCCAACAGTTCCCGTTTGGTCCTACGATAACGACCCGACCTCTGATCCCAACGACGACTTCCCGCCCACTGAAGACCCCGTATGGGTGTTGGGCATCAAATACAGTTCACTCCACGGTTTGTCTCATCCCTTAACCATCCATTGTCTCATCCATTGATTATTCAGAACTCGAAGAATTGCGAACTGATGTCAAGTCTCGCATTTGGATCACATATCGCAAGAACTTCGTGGGCATCGGTGGTCCGAATGGACACACGTCTGACAGCGGGTGGGGCTGTATGTTGAGGTGCGGTCAGATGGCTTTGGCTCAGGCCTTATGCATACGACACCTGACCAGAGACTGGCGATGGACTCAGAACTACACACTCGAGTCGGACCTCCAGTACCGCGAAGTACTGAAGCTGTTTGAGGACAAGAAGACGTGTATCTACTCTATCCATCAAATCGCTCTCATGGGCGCCTCCGAGGGAAAGCCTGTCGGCAATTGGTTCGGACCCAACACTATCGCTCAGGTGTTAAAGTGAGCCGAAAAAGTATTATCTGTTTTTGGTTTACGTTTTAATGGTTTTTGCTATCATTAGAAAACTGTCCGCTTATGACAAATGCAATGATATTGTCATTCATGTGGCGATGGATAACATGGTTGTCATCGATGAGATCAGTGAGTGTTTGGCATACCTTCTCACTCGCGTCCATACAATGAACTTGAAATTGATTTTTATGAACAGAAAACTCTTGTAAACCCCAAGAGAACGGAACCGACGATTCAGATAATGAAGCGAATGACAAGAAATTATGGAAACCATTGGTTTTATTTATTCCTCTGCGGTTGGGTTTGTCTGAAATAAATCCCATCTATTTTAAGTCACTTAAGACGACGTTCGCAATGAAGCAGTCGTTGGGTATAATCGGCGGTCGACCCAATCATGCCTTATATTTGATCGGATGTGTGGCCAACGAACTGGTCGTCTTAGACCCGCACACGACTCAGCCATTTGTCGACTTAGAGGAGCCCGAGGCCGACGACTCAACCTATCACTGCCCGCGAGCCTCTCGGATGGACATCAGTCTACTCGACCCGTCCATCGCTTTGTGTTTCTATTGCGACACCGAAGAGGAGTTTGACAGTTGGTGTCAATTGACATACAAAGCACTCATTTTAGGCGAAAAGCAGTCACTCTTTGAATTAACTAAAGAAAGGCCATCGCATTGGCCCTCATATGAGGAGCAGATCGACGCCAACACAGCCATCGTGTCGACGGGCACCTCAACCCTCAACTCAAACACATGCGAGTCGTTCACAGAACTCGAGGACACAAACAGAGATGATTCCGACGAGGAGTTTGAGTTATTGGGATAACAGTCGTGTCTATTATCTCGTATTTGTGACCAATTTTTGTTATATAATGTGTTTTATAAACTATAAAATTGTCTTTTTTATAAGACTTGTAAATTGCAATCAAATCGCAAATATTTTTTAATTACAAAACAAAATGCATCAAAATATTTAAAAATAAATATTAATTATGTTGTGAATTGTTTCATAAATTAAATTATATTAACAATCATTTTATACTTATATTTTCTCTTGTAATTTGCTTTAATTTAAACAACTCTTATAAAACGATTTAGAAAACATTTAGACTAAAGGTTTAGAAATTAACAGTTTATTGAAAAAATATATTATAAAACAGATAATTAATTTTAATAAATTGTAAATTCAACCAGATTATTTGTTTAATATATGAATTATAATATTGTAGTTATGATAATAATGACTAAAGTTATTAAGAACTATACTCTCATTGACTAAACTATCCGTTTTTCTTATGAATGTATTCATTCCTATCAAATCCCGGGATCTTTTGAGTGGTTGTCTTAATGAACATATCTTCAAGACTGGGGGCCGGTGTTTGTCGCTGAACGGCATTCCTTGTGTCGATAATGTCGTCCACATCTTTGAACTCCTTTTCAAGTTCTGTCTCGTCATCCAACTCATCGATGTGTTCATAGTCGTGAGCCTTTGCAGTAACGGTGCTCTCAGTCTGCACCTCCTTATTGATGCTGTAATCGGGAAATACATTCTCCCACTGGAGCTCATTAACCGTGAAATCGGCTTTTGGTTTGTATAGACAGACCGTATATACGCCTCCTTTGGGTTCTTCGATGTTCTGGACCTGAGCGCAACCCACGGTTGTCGTGGGACTCCAAACCAGTTGTATAAAGTGTCTAACCGTCCCGTTATGGGATTGTCGGTAATCCCAGTCATAGTTAATCACTTCTCCATACCATTTGCCTATAGAATCGCTGCAACTGATGGGTTGCGAGCCATTCATATGAGCGGCTGATGTCCAGTGAATATTCTCTCCGAACTCAGAGTTCTTATGGCGAAAGAATCTGAAGCCCTTTTGTGCCATTCCTATGGCTCTCTTATGTGATGATTGGAAGATCTATTCATTAGAAAACATTTTAATATATTCATAAATTCTTGACTATAAATATCTGAACAAAATCCACTAAGTGTTCACCTCATCGTTGATCACCAAAGGGTCGACTGAATGTAATTTTCTGATTCTATTGTGCTCTTTGATGCACTCCTGAATCCATTGCCCATCTGTGAGTACTTTATACTTAAACTTACGAGTGCTTAGAATTTGGTCGCATTTCTTGACAGATCTAACATTTTGGGTGATGTTTCGCCCGAACGGAACCGCATTATAATATGTGCAGACAATAGACACATATTTGAAGGGAAAGGTATCTGAGAGAACAGAAGCGCATCCAATTCTTTGGGTTGAGTTCCACACCATTTGTGCAAAATGTTTGGAGACGGGACTGATTTTCTTCTGCGATTTCCAGCTATATTTCACTCTTTCTTTATACCAGTTCTCAACGACTCGTTTGCAGTCAATTGGAGTCGAGTTCTCGTATTTCATGACAAGACTATTCTCACCAAACGCTGTGGTATGGAGTGAACCGAAGTTTTTGCCCCCATTTGTGGCCAAAAGGGTCGCTCGTTTAGTGGCAAACAATTTGAGCTGATTTTTGACGAGAGATTTAATAAACAAAAAATCAAAGAAATGTTAGCCAAAACTTAGACATACTTTGGGACTGTATTTGAGTGGAGAAGAGCAGTGCTTTTCGCGATTCTTGTTGTGATTGAGGAGACAATCCAATTGAAACTCATCGGTCGTCACATCTTTGGGTTCGAGTTGTGCTTTCAATACATAATTAACTGAAAATAAAATTAATAACTTATAAAAGTAATCAATAATTTTAATGTCCATAATGTCGAACAGCAACAACAATTGAAGTGTAGAGTACAGTAAGTGGTAATACTATATAAATGTTGATTCTGTGAGAGGAATCGTTGAAAAAGAAATCTAATCTTAGAAAATTAAAACTCAATTTTAATAAATTTGATCTTTTACTAGTGATTGCATTACAACTATTATTCAATATTGTGTTCATATTACCGGTACTTTAATAATCAATTTGCATACAAATTATTTCAAAGTTTCCGTCTATTCGTAAACTGTAATTTGAATTCTTTATACTCTACTTATTTATAACATTTATAACTTTATCTCTTACTTTATAATTACCAGATATTTTTACTTTAATAATAAGATTGGTATAGTATTAAAGTGTAAAACGAAACGTTTTATAACTTTAATATAATTTAAATCAGATATATTGTATTACAGGTAAGAATAATAGAGTTAATTGAATATTGGATTAAATATTTATTAATGAATCAATGAATATGTGAACAATTTGCACAATTGATATACACTATATACTGTATTTAGTAATTATGATATTTCATTAAAAAATTATCAAAAATCATATTTAAAAAATTAAAATAAATATAAAAATTGGTACACAAATGAATAACTACAGTATGATACACTACAGTAATCATTGTTTCTAAAACATTGAATAAAAATTTAAATAAAATCTTTCATTACACGACTATATTCTTGGGTCGATATCTTCTGAACAAATAATTCAAATCGAGTTCATTATAGGAGTTATTATCCAAACACGTCTGTATCACTTGTTTTAGTTTATCATACAGTGGTCCAAACCTGGCCTTTAGTAGCTTTCCGTCCACTAAAAAAATATGAAAAAACATTTAAAACAAATTCAAGAAATAGAATAATTTTAAAGAATTATACTTTTATCAGATTCTGTGGTCAAAAGTTTGATTGTAGGGCTTAAGTCCATCAGATGTTTGAAATAAGTTAACTGAAGGTTGAGCTGAAACTCGCTTATCTGTCAAACGAACAAAAATTAGTAAACATTTAGAAAATCAAAAAATAAAAACTAAAACAATAACCTAATGAACACTTACTTCGGGACAGAGATTTCCAGACTTGCATTTCGGACAGAGAGGACCCACTTTAGAGAGACGACCCGTCAAATAGCGAGTCCTATGCGAACATATCTGGTCGTCACATATCATCCATTTTTGGTAGAAGTTTCCAATGAATTCATTGATCAGACGTCGGATCTGAACCTCGAACTTAGGGGCCATTAGTTCTGTGAACTCAATGTTACAGTGCGGACACCGACTGAACGACAGCTCTAAACGCTTTTTAGTCAATGATTTGTCACTTTCGCCATCTTTTGCTTCATTATTATCCGTCTTTTTAAACACTGTTGTGATGACTAACTCTTGATTACAGCTTTCGTTAACACACTTTAATACCAGAGGTTTACACAAATCGTATTTATGTTCTCCCCTTTCGATGGCGTTCTCTACCTCTAGAAGCGATCGGTTATTGAACTTATTGTTGGATTCAATTCCCATAAATTCTGCCAAAATGTGTGAATCCGTGCCATCGATAGGCTCACAAAGTCTGGACACAACCGGAAGTAACTGTTGACTCAAATAATAATTGACATCAATCTTTAAGTTCTTTTCCTTGAGTTCGTCGCAATGGTAAGCCCTCTGAGTGGCCGGTCGTCCCGAGTCGTCCTCACATATGACATACGCAACGGTATCTCCATTCCTCAACTTCTTTGCCTTACTTGACTCGTTATATCTGAGCGCAACGCTTACGTGACTCAACCCTTTCTTATCGGGATATTCCTCGGGATTCTTAGTCAACGCTTTGCTGATAACGAACTCTTCGATGGGAAGCTCTGACCGTCTGATGGATTCCGAGAGTTCTTTCAAATAGCTGTGAATGTTGTCGACAATGAGTTCACTGGACTTATCAGTGGACAGAATCTCGTCGAGAATGCGTTCTCCGGCCTTCTTCGCCAGTATAGACCAATCGCGTCGAACGATATCCAAACCCTTCACTTCCTTCACGTAACTGAGTTCACCGTTCGGTGCCTTTTGAACGGTAAGCGCCGCATATTTCTTCTTCTTAAGCAAAAGCATTGAACGAAACACTCCGTCGATGTCTATCTCCAGGAGTCTATACAAACGGTTCACTTCTATCTGGACTTTATTGCCGACAGTCTTGACCTCATTATAATTGGTGCAATTGGTCAGAATCATAATGGAGTCCGTGTCACCGTATATCACTTCCAGACCAATCTTCTCGACCAACTGTTTGGTATTCATGAGAATCTCTCTGCCTTTGAAGGTAACCAAAGCGGCCAATGGTTTGGCATAGAAACGGGAGTAACTAAAACCCAGACACCCGTACATACTATTTGCGGTCAGTTTGAGAGCCTTTTGACGGATATCGTACTGTTGTTTCAAATCCGGAGTTAAATCTGGATTACACATCAATTTCTTCACTTCACGCCTACTTTCCACTAATTTCTTGATCTCATTGGGAAGTATGCCTTCGGGAAGGTCTGCATCGGGAAGATCTGGTATGTATTCCTCTGTATTTTCATTCTCATCCTCTTTGGGTTCCGTTTGAGACACAGTTGTGAAACAGATATTAAATTCTTGAATGATTGACGGATACAACGAATTGAAGTCCATTAGAAGGATATACTTGTCATAGAATCCCACTTTTGGCTCTAAGACCAGACCTCCCGTATAGGCGGCCTTCTTCTGTCGGGAAGCGGTGGCCTTCTTAGGCATTGGGTCTCCATTAGTGTCAAAGTCATTGAAATCTGCAAATTTAGAATTGGAAAACACTTTGTCGGGAGATATAAAGTTCCGCTCATGAAAGGCGTGAAGAAGTAAATACTCGTTACGTTCGGAACGACCGCCGAGGAGTGTACGCGACAGCAGATTACCGGCAATGGATGTGATCTGTAGGGCCAACGGCAGGGCATTCAACTCATACATTATGTTTATAATCAAATCGTTGTCTTTCATAATGAGGTCAACGAGTCTTAAGAGTTGATTCGATGTCGAGAAGTAATTGGAGAGGAAGTGCTGTTCGACTTCGAAGCGAGACTTCTTAAGGATTTGTGTCGACAGTTGTGTCAAATCGTAACTCTTAGCGCGTATTAACTCTTTGCTCGAGATCTTGATATCGCATACAATACGACCGCAGAGTCCGCCTTTATCTTTGGCTTTGTTGGGAACGCCTGACCTCTTGAGTCGACCCAATTTAGACCACGACATGGAGATCTTGTAGTGAGCGAATCGGGACAATAGGAGGTCGTAATCGAAATGGTAGATATCATGGCCGACAATGATATCGGGATCTAATTGCAGAATCTTAGCCATAAAATAGTTGAGAAGCTCTCTCTCGGAGTTCATTGGTTCCACTTTTGTCTTGTGATAGTTCTTAAGCGCCATTTTGGGTGAGAAGTCGTACGGAAGAGTGACTCCGCAGTTGTTGGACGGCTTTGTTATGACACAGAAATGGGAGTCATATTTGGTTTTGACGTTTGGTTTGTGGAAATTGAACGAAGAGTTCACTAAACACGAGATACTAATGATTTCATTGAGTTTAGTGTTTGGGTTCACAAATGTCTTCATATTGAGTGAGACTAATGTGAAATCGGGTGAAGCCTTCTGTTCGGTATCGACACTGATCTGAGCGCTGGCTTTGTTCACAATGAGCTCCAGTTTACACCAACTGACCGGCGGGTCTGCAATCTCGGGGTTTTTAATGGTCAGCCATTGCGGGCCAACCAGTTTGCAGTCCAACAGCAGATTCTCCAGACCTGACGTATTGACGCCAAAGACGTGGCGAAAAGTCTTACCAGACGTCAGATTGGGTGGAAGTGGCGAATGAGTGGCCGGATAGAGCACTTCCAGGTACTCGGCCTCAGCCGGAATGTCTTTGTTATCGAAAGAGTACTTTTTAGTCACTTTTCGTGACTTGAATTGAGATATTTTATACTTCTTTGCGATCACATCATTGAACTCATTGTAGACGTCCTGAAGAGTGACTTTCTGTGTCTCGTCGTCCAAGAAGTGTTCTCTCGGGAGTAAATAGATTTTGCGCTCAATATTCCGCACTTGAATACAACAACTCACGAATCGCTTGATGTCTTTGATGAACACTTTGCCGAACAGATAGACAACACTTGGATTCCGGAAGTAATCGATGTAAGCGTCGAACCAGTAGAAGGAAATCAGTTTATTCTTGTGGTCGTCGAACTCGAAGGGGACTTCTTTGGGCAAAATGGCTGCTATTGGAAGCGATTGGATATCATTGTTCTGATTGGACACAACCCATTCGCCGCCACTTAGGTTCAGTTCCAATTGATCTCCAGAACCCGCTTTTTGATCAGACGTCTTGTTGTCATCTCTTTTGACATCAACTTCAGTGATGTTTGGCTTCAAATCCATTTCAAAGTCAAATCCGTCTGAATTGAGAATTGAATCGAAATCATAGTCTCCTTCACTCATGAGTGATCTCTTCTTCATCGGCGGTTCACTGAAGCCATTACTGACGCGTTTGGAACTTCTCTTCGCAGAACTACTGCTAGTATTGACCGCAAAAGGATTGGACGGACTTTGGGTCACTCTTCGCGTCAATTTCATGGCTTTCGGCGTTGAACTCATCGTAATTCTCTTCGAGTGGTCACCGGTTCTGCTGGAAGTGCTGTGAATGGAGTCAATAATTCCGTCCAACTCTTTCTCGTCGATCACCACATCCTTCACGGCTTTGGCGGACCTATTGGTCTCCATTCCCTTCATAAACATCTCTCTGATGTTATTTGTCTTCTTCGGGGCCTTCTTCTCGTCGTCGTCGCGACTAATGAGCGATCCTTTCGTCGGATTCCGCTTCTTATGGCTCGAGTCGTACTTCGCCGACGAGTGGGTCTGTTGTTCATCGAAGTCGTCGTCGAAGATCTCTCTGCCGGTGTCGGCGTAACCGCAGCCGTCGTCGTCCACAATCCAGTCCTCCCGCTGTCTGCGCGACACGATCTCCGAGTACTCCTCTTCATCCACCTCTTCGTACACATTGTCCTCATCAGCCAATTCATACTTATTCTTCTGGCCCTTCAGTTGTCTCAACCGATCCAATGCCGACAACTTCTTCGACAACTGTTTACTCGCTTTACGTCTCTCTCGTGAGGGCACTGAAAACGTGCCGCGAATTTGAGGCCAAAGTTTTTTGTGGCATTAAATACAGTGTTAATGAATGCGTCAAAGTTTACAATCAATTCAAATACCTATTTCTTCGCTCATTATCACCGAAAAAGTGGACAAATATTTGTTGAATAAAGCGATGAACCCGTCGTTCAATGCAATCACAACACAAACCAATTGTCTATTAATTCCCGCATTTATTGCCTTATATTAGGCGCCAACCAATCAAAGCACTCCTTTTGGCGCCTAATATACACCACAACTCCTATACTATTACTTCAATCAAACACACGTTTTAATTAGACTTTTGTTACTAATTATAGCTCTTATTAATTATTTTGTATTAAATTTGATGAGTAATTAATATGTGTTTGATATTTAATTAAGTGAATCAGTATTTTATTACAATTAATTAAAGTGAAAATAGTTTCACAAATGATGTATCAGTTTATGCGAGCGATTGCTTTGTGTGAATACATGACTCAATACTAAACGCTTATCAGTTGTAAAGAGGGTCTCTAAACATACTGATTATGCAATACGTTATTAATGTGTGGAATGTATGTCAACTACAATGAGTGCCATTGACTGGCAATGAGTGCCAAATGAATGCATTTAATTTGATTGCATTGAAGACTATTACTGAATACAGCAAAAAGTGTCAAAACTTTTGACTCAAAAGTTTTCAACTTTTCAATTCGTGTCAACTTTTGTCGCATTTGTGAAGCGTTTTGTCATTTGTTTGATTCATTCAAACAAATCATTTGATTTTCATTTGACTGATAAACCATACGTTTGGGCCAATAGTGTGTCACACAGTTATCATATATTATCACACATTTGATGAGATATTCATAATTATTGATAAATAGCACGTTCTTGAGAGTACCAGTGCTTAGAGTACAGACAGAGCACCTGTAGTACAGATCATACCCATTGAGGCGAGTGTTCACTAATTGAACTCATATTGCAATTAATGCTGAAAACATTTCTCTGAATTAGCAGTCAATTGGTTGGACACAAGCGATGGCATCAAAGACAGTGAAACTAAATAACGGCAAAGAGTTTCCTTTGGTAGGGTTGGGCACCTGGAAGGCACCCGAGGGACAGGTGTACGAAGCCGTCAAAGTGGCCATCGATGCCGGCTATCGACACATCGACTGTGCCTTCGCTTATGGCAACGAAGCAGAGGTGGGAAGAGCTCTGAATGAGGCCATCAGTGGCGGTAAAGTGAAGAGAGAGGAGCTCTTCATTACCAGCAAATTGTGGAACACTTACCACAAGAGGGAAAGGGTTGGCCTCTGTCTGGACATCACTCTCAAGGCATTGGGTCTCCAATACCTTGACTTATATCTAATCCATTGGCCGCTTGGCTATGAAGAAGGAGACGAGAAGTTCCCGAAGAATGAAAAGGGAGAGGTTTTGGTCAGTGATATCGACTACTTGGAGACATATCTGGGTTTAGAAGATCTGCTGAAGACCTCGAAAGTCAAGTCCATCGGTGTCTCAAACTTTAATTCACAGCAAATCGATCGCATCCTTAAGGAGGCGAATGTGAAACCTGTTGTCAATCAAGTGAGTCGTCAACACATGTCATGTCTTGAGATAAACTCATTGCCTTCAAATTGAATATCAGGTCGAATGTCATCCATATCTGAATCAATCAAAACTGATTGATTTCTGTCGCCAAAGAGATATTGTGGTCACAGGTATTGTAATCATGAGAAACATATTACACAGACTTTAATCAACGGTATGTTGTCCTTAGCGTACAGTCCATTGGGTTCACCGGACAGGCCGTGGGCTAAGCCGGACGACCCGTCGCTGTTAGAAGAGCCCAAAATCAAAGAGATCGCTAAGAAGTATAACAAAAGCAGTGCTCAGATATTGATCCGGTTTCAAGTGGAACGTGGAGTTGCCGTCATTCCCAAGAGTGTCACAAAAGACAGGATTATCTCCAATATCAATGTCTTCGACTTTCAATTGACTCCCGAAGACTTGAAGGCTATCGAGAGCTTCGATCGGGGAAATGAGGGTCGGATCATACACTTGGGTTGGAACGGACCCATTGTTGTCAACCATAAGTACTTCCCCTTTAATATCCCCTTCTAATCAACAAATATTTCAATTACCCGGTGGTGGCATAAAATCATTGCTTTTTACCGTATATTAAAATTAATGATTTTATTGTGATTTGAAAATAAAATATTATACTTTGTGTTAAAAAATCTTGTTTATAAATATATATTTTTTTTATATCCGGTTTAATGAGTGTTTCATTCAATTCTATATACAATTTAATGCTATCATTAATTTAAGTGTTTGTGTTGAGTATTGTTATTATAAAATTATTTATTCAATGAATCGCTTTAACACAAACTCATTGAATAGATGTCTCGTTTGTCACCATATCTTAAAGAGTCTGAAAATAGTTCAAAAATAGTTCGTTAGTTTTAAGTAAAGGGCACAAAATAATAGTTATCATTCATTAAATTGATATGAGGTCTCAATTAATACATGATTATCGATAAATTTATCTCATGTAAGTAGTCTGATAACCTTTTTTAAGAAGTCATACAAATTGATGTCAATTCAAATGGTAATCAGTTTTAAGATAATTAGGTGAGAACTCAAGAACTTAAGAAAATAATTGATAAAAACTTACTTTTAATGAATACTATTCCCCACATTATACTCCAAACCCAACCGAACACTACTATAGCTGTCAATGACTGCAGAAGTGCTGAACACAAACATATGAAGAATGCTTTAAACCAATGATTTTCACCATATTCTGTGTTACAACCGAATAGTATGGCAATCGATGCCAAGAATGTGCCTAAAAATTAAGTAAAAACCAATTTATTTAAAAAATCATAATTCGTGGAAAAGAGTTATAGATTAAGAATTTTTATGAATTAATTTATAATGTATTTAATCTTTTATAAGAAAAATAAACTAAAATTCTGTGAAACAGAATAACAATTCTTTGAATTTGGACTTTTGTGAGGAATTATTAAAATTATTGATCCATTATATTAAAGTGAATTAAAAAACTCTTTAATGAGTAATAGAGGGCTTATTATTAATGTGAATAGTGTCCCACTTTATCCATTGTCACTCTAATCAGGTATATTTAGACCAGAATTTCATTGCCAGAGACGTGCCTCTCAAGCAAATGATGATTTCCAACACTAGACTACTGTATAGTATAGCTCTATATTCTCATTAATTTGCGTGCAATACATATGCTATTAAAACAGTCATAATTATGAATACAGAGTATTAAAACATGAATTAAATACAATATGAGCCAAACATTAGTACAGTATATGCTGTCAAACATATTCTTGTGTTTTAATATTCATTTCGATTAGTTTTTAGCGCCGGTATGTGTGGCATATGCAGTATATGTCAAGGCTAGGGTTCATTACTAATCAAAACAATTTAGACGATGTGTTTCAATCGATTTGAACAATACTCTCAAATGTGTATTTAATTATCACTACATTACTGCCATTTAAATGCATTATAATTATATTTTCTAATTTATAAAAAACTCTTTTGAGTTTATAATTGAAAAAAATTAGAGAAAATATGTTTTTTGGCGTTGCGTTCAGAATCGAGGGATAGTTTTGTGATTATTTTTGTGTTATAATTGTCGACTTTTGTCGATAATAACAAAATTATTGTAATTAACTTCTGAAAA